TGGGTGAGTGGTGAGGACTGTAGGTGAGTGGTGAGGACTGTAGGTGAGTGGTGAGGACTGTAGGTGAGGACTGTAGGTGAGTGGTGAGGACTGTGGGTGAGTGGTGAGGACTGTAGGTGAGTGGTGAGGACTGTAGGTGAGTGGTGAGGACTGTAGGTGAGGACTGTGGGTGAGTGGTGAGGACTGTAGGTGAGTGGTGAGGACTGTAGGTGAGTGGTGAGTGACTGTAGGTGAGTGGTGAGGACTGTAGGTGAGTGGTGAGGACTGTAGGTGAGTGGTGAGGACTGTAGGTGAGTGGTGAGGACTGTAGGTGAGTGGTGAGGACTGTAGGTGAGTGGTGAGGACTGTAGGTGAGTGGTGAGGACTGTGCGTGAGTGGTGAGGGACTGTAGGTGAGTGGTGAGGACTGTGGTGAGTGGTGAGGTCCTGTAGGTGAGGACTGTAGGTGAGTGGTGAGGACTGTAGGTGAGTGGTGAGGTCTGTAGGTGAGTGGTGAGGTCTGTAGGTGAGGACTGTAGGTGAGTGGTGAGGACTGTAGGTGAGTGGTGAGGACTGTAGGTGAGTGGTGAGGACTGTAGGTGAGTGGTGAGGACTGTAGGTGAGTGGTGAGGACTGTAGGTGAGGACTGTAGGTGAGTGGTAAGGACTGTAGGTGAGTGGTGAGGACTGTAGGTGAGTGGTGAGGACTGTGGGTGAGTGGTGAGGACTGTAGGTGAGTGGTGACGACTGTGGGTGAGTGGTGAGGACTGTAGGTGAGTGGTGAGGACTGTGGGTGAGTGGTGAGGACTGTAGGTGAGTGGTGAGGACTGTAGGTGAGGACTGTAGGTGAGTGGTGAGGACTGTAGGTGAGTGGTGAGGACTGTAGGTGAGTGGTGAGGTCTGTAGGTGAGTGGTGAGGACTGTAGGTGAGTGGTGAGGACTGTAGGTGAGTGGTGAGGACTGTAGGTGAGTGGTGAGGACTGTAGGTGTAGTGGTGAGCACTGTAGGTGAGTGGTGAGGACTGTAGGTGAGTGGTGAGGACTGTAGGTGAGTGGTGAGGACTGTAGGTGAGTGGTGAGGACTGTAGGCGAGTGGTGAGGACTGTAGGTGAGTACTGTAGGTGAGTGGTGAGGACTGTAGGTAAGTGGTGAGGACTGTAGGTGAGTGGTGAGGACTGTAGGTGAGTGGTGAGGACTATAGGTGAGTGGTGAGGACTGTAGGGAGTGTTGAGGACTTGTAGGTGAGTGGTGAGGTCTGTAGGTGAGTGGTGAGGACTGTAGGTGAGGACTGTAGGTGAGTGGGTGAGGACTGTAGGTGAGTGGTGAGGACTGTAGGTGAG